CGAGCACAAAAAGTGAGGTTATGCAAGGAAAACGATAAACGGGTAAAAGACAAAATAGGGAAAAAGACGAAAAAAAAGAATTCACCGAAAAAGGAAATGAAGGAAAACGACTGGGTCATTACACTCATTTAAGATGTAATGATGATGTGTTGACCCTAGACATAAGGTGGATTAACTTAGGTGACCTCGGGTTTGGGTAAGGACCAGGTTAACGGTTCGGACCCACGGGTTTGGGTCATTACAAAGTTGGTATCAGAGTGATGGTTCGAAAACCATTAGTAATCAAAGCTTGAAATTTTGTGTAGAAAAGAAAAAGAAAAATGGGAGGAGAATAAGAAAGAGAGACGTGATATAAAGAGAGAAAAATGAGGCCAAAAATGGCCTCTTGGCCACTAAAATGAAGGTAAGTGGTGGTGGGTCCCACCACTTAAAAAAATATCCTTTTAACTTAAATTTTCCTCCACAAAATTCATATACATGCACCACTTATAATACAACCATAGTTTTGCATTTAAACAATTAACTAGGTCAAGACCTAAGGCTTCAAGCTCCATCCATGGAGGCTAGGGTTTTTGGTGAGGAAGGAATGAAATAATGTGAAAATATGTGAGTGGAGGAAATAGAAATCTTCCACTCACTATGTGCTCTTACACCATGGTCAACACACACATCTATGGTCAATTGCACAAAAACCCTTCTTTAAAACCATAATCCCAAAGTGGTCCAAAAAAAATTGCAAAACTTAATTTGGAGCATACACTTGTCACAAATCTAATGCTCCATCCTAAGCTTAATCTCAAGCCTACACTTGTCAACCATCCAAGCCAACAAGTGCACCAATCCTAGGCCAACAAGTGGGTGAATCTCCACCTTCCACATGTCATCATCCAAGGCATCAAAGTGTTTCCACACAAATGTCAACAAGTGAACCAATGAAAGTGTGACACTTGTCACACTTTTTCGGAAATTGCAAAAAGGTCCTTTTTGAGAATATTTTCCAAATAAAATTACAAAATGGTCCCCAAGACGAAAATTAATTACTTTATTTAACTACACAAAAACCCCTCAAGTTATGAATATTACAAAAAAGGTTATGTATCCATATCCTTTACAAGAAAAGTAAACACTTAGCATGCTTTTCTAAGAAAGTAAAAATACACATAGCATGGAATTTAAATATCATGGATGCATACAAAACCGGAATCAAATCCGAACACGAAAAGTGAGGTTATGCCAACAAGTGACAACCGAGAAAAAGACGAAAGTGAATAGTGTCTCAAAAGTGAAAATGTGAAAATGACTCGGTCCTCAAAAGAAGTTGTCAATTCAAGGAAAAGAGTCTCGGAAACCATCCCCGAGCACTCAAGATGACATTAAGTGGCGAGAAACCGAACTCAGAAAGGAAAAGATCAACGGAAAAAAAATATCCGTGAAAATCTGAGAAAAGGAAAAGAAAGAAAATGACCGGGTCATTACAGCTGCTCTTAGTCATTTCATATCCAAGCTATCAGACAAATGCAAGCCTTTCTTCAATGCAATCAAGGCAAGAAAGGGAGACATTTGGAGGGGGGGGGGGGGGGGGGCGCAGAGCAGCGAGAAGCTCTTAAAAACTTAAGGAGTACATGATGAACCCCCCAATTTTATCTGCCCTTGAACCCGAAGATGCCCATGGAGAGTTCCGAGGTCTCCATGGAGCGCTGGGACCCCCCAATTTTATCTGCCCTTGAACCCGAAGATGCCCATGGAGAGTTCCGAGGTCTCCATGGAGCGCTGGGAGCGTGTGCTAAGGTGTTCGTGGGCCCGTGGCACCCTCCGAGCGCTCTGTGGACGTCGACGAAACGCTCTGAATTAGAAAATAGGTGCCTTTTTTTTTTTTTTTTTTTTTAAGGTTTTCCGTTTTCTCTGAGCTTCAACGTATGAGTCCCATAGGATATTTAGGAGGCTTGGATCAATATGGCCCTACCGGAATACGAGCGGAATGGCCTGGAATGACATTTTTACCCTTTTTAGCCCTAAAATGGGTGACCTCGAACCTAGTTGTTTTCTTCCATTCAAAAATGAATCTAAGTAACTAGATATGACCTAGATGACAGTTGTAAAGTCCCTAATGAGTTGCATGGTCCAAAAAGACCAATTTACCCTTATAACCCTAAGTGAACCGATTTGAAGACAAAGTCGATTCTTTCATCCGTAAGTGAACCAATTTGATTTTAATGACCATTATAGCATTATTATAACCTTTAGTACACTGTATTGGTCAAAATTACAATTTTACCCTTAGGTGTTCCTTGGTTAGGTTAGGACTCGGTTAACGATCCGGACCACCGGGTTTGGGTCGTTACAATAAGTCTCCTACGGCCGCCTCCGAATCTAAACCCGAACTCGGCCCCAAAAACCCAAAACTCCCTAAATCAGAAACAAAATCGAAGGTTTTGCTTCCCATGGTGTCCTCATCATATCTCTCTTACGGCGATGCAAGAATATCGACAAAAATGGATCAAATCGGGCAAAACCTCAAGAACACAAAAGAAATAAAAAGAAAAAAGAAAGGGGGAGGGGGGCTGCCTCTCTCGGCTGATCCCTCTCTCTCTCGTCTAATATACATATATATATATATATATATATATACATATATATTGTATACAAAAGCACAAAATATCCCCCGGGGACCCCACAAAAGTCGAAATTACAAAAAGGTCCAAAAATTAGAAAATATCTGGAAAATAATAATGTGAATGGCCCAAAATAAAATATGATGTCCAAAACATCCCAAATTAAATATAAAGCTCAATATATTCTCAAAACAATAAATGCATAGTGTTGAAAAAATTTCTCGAATACTTGACCTGGTTCGGTCCCATTTGACCCGAACCTAAAAATGACGAAAAAAGAAAATAGTGAAAAATGAAAAAGGGAATGTCCTTACAAGTTCAACTAACCGGTTATATAAAATCATTTAATCGGTTAGAACCAAACACTTGACTCGGTTCGGTCCCATTTGACCCGAACCTGAAAATGACGAAAAAAGAAAATAGTGAAAAATTAAAAAGGGAATGTCCTTCAAAGTTCAACTAACCGGTTATATAAAATCATCTAATCGGTTAGATGATCTAGTCCAGTGAACATCTCTACTGCCAAGACTAACTAACCGGTTACATGAAATCATCTAACCGGTTAGATAATCTAGTCCAGTGAACATGTCTACTGGCAAGACCAACTAACCGGTTACATGAAATCATCTAACTTGTTACTTGCTTGGGCAGTGAGTGTGCATATCTGAAAAATATCCCCCGAGACCAAGTAACCGGTTACATGGAATCATTTAACCGGTTACTTAGCTTACCCCATAAAATGTGAGTTTTGGAAATCCCCTAAAATGATCTCTAACTCTTTCCCAACACAATTTATCATGTTAAGTAGCCTATATATGAAATCACACACATAATTTCATCGAAGAAACATTATACGTGCATCAAAATAAAGCATGCATACATCATCCTTACAAATTTCACTATATGATCAAACAAGGATCATTATACATCATTTGGAGATCGAAAAAATACATGTTTATTAAATACAACCCAAAAGAGTTTAATTACAATTCTAAGGCCGAATTGGCCATGAATACAATATCTCAACCAAAATCACCGACTTTGGACTCCATTGAGTCGAACACACAATGAATGGGGAAAAGAGAAGTGGAGATCATACATAGGGATATCAAGAACCACAATCAAAACGATTCATTCTTAATAACATTCTCCATCAAACTATACCATGCACATGAATGCAACAATGACATTAATGAGACACCGTCCCAACATAGTCCCAATCTATCACAACTTACACCGAAAACCGCTAACCTACTTTACCAAGGCGAGATTGATTAACTATCCCTGATTCCAAATCCGGCAACCATTTGGAGCCTAGTAATTAATATTACACATTCAAATCCGGTACGCGCCCCCTTTAGGTCGAGTTAGTCCCGAACTTGCGAAATCCAGTTCCGTTCATAAAACAATTTTTCCACAAAACTTTTTCCTTTCAAAAACATTAAAGCATTCCTCTTTCCAAAAAAAACTTTCCAACACAATTCATGAAATAATTCTACCCCAATTTCCGAACCATATCCATGCCATGAATGAAATCATGCATCTTTAAAATCAATAATTTCATGCTTTTCAATTCTATCAATTTAACCAAACATGCTCACATCATCATCATCATCATGATTTATATGCATATTCTCAAGAAAACAACTTAAACACATAGCATGCTCTTTAAACAAGTTAACACTCAAATATAAAAAAAATTGTTCCTACTAATCTACGATGAGCCACTTTGTTTGCAGCGAAACTCAAGGGCGAGTTTTTTTCCAACCCGAGGGGACTATGTAGTCAATGATTTTATCAACTTTGTGATTTTAGGAAACTTTCCATATTCTGCTAATTAAAAATTTTTCATGTCTTATTTTGGAAAATTTCCTGATTTATGTGTTTTCTGATTTTTTTAGTAACTTTCCTTTATTGTAATTACGCCAATTATGGCTAGGATTGCTTGGAGACACTATATAAAGGGTGGCTAGGCTATTGGAGAGGGGGTGATGAATATTATTCTTGATAGAATTGCATCAACGAATTGTTTGCTCGTCTTATTATTAATTTTTTTTTTTTATCCTTGTTCTAGCATTCTTTTCCTTAGTTTATTTCTCACTTACTTGAGACGACAATTGTCTCACTTACTTTACACGACAATTGTTTGTCTTCTCTTGGTAAGGCCGCATCATGAAAATTATACATTTCTGACCTTCAGATTATAAGAAAATCAATAGAGTTAAGATATTTATAAGAGGGCCATTACTACCAAAATCTCTGAAATCAAGATACTTGGGGTTTTTTGAAAAATAAAAAATTAAAAAAAAATAATCAAAATAAAAAATTAGTCAAACAGTTCAAACATTTTTTCCTCAACTTGTTGAAAAGACGAAGTTGTGGATGTAATTAATACAATACCTTGTTATATAGGATTCACTATGCTAAGTACTACAATTTTAATCTCAAATATACAGATAATCTCTAATACCAGAGTAAACCAGATTTCGATCCATCTTGGAAGAGCTCAATATTAGGAAAGCTATCTTGCTTGTGACAGTTGCATAGCTTCTTGGTCATGCGTGGAGTCTTCAGCCCAAGCAAATTGGTGAGTCATAAAGGAGAATTCTCGATTTCTTACTTCTTCAAGCTGCTCCCACTCGGCCCATCTCTCTGCCAAACCCACTCCTTGAAGCATGCTTACTACTACTGTCATCTTTGGGCGATCTTCGGGTGAACTTTGTGTGCAGAGCAACGCAACTTGAAGAATTGTCTCAACTTCTTTGGGATCATAAACCTTCAAGTTTTCATCAACAATGTCCTCAAGCCTTTTCTCCCTCAGTAATTTCTTTATCTGCAGGAGTCATGTCAAAATAAAGAATCACCAGCCGACCAAAATAAATGGGTGAAGTTTCTATGGACTAATACCTTTATCAAGATACAGATCAAGAGTAACTTTAATGTTATGAAGCATTTTTATTGGAGAATATATTGGACACAAGTATAGAACGATAAGGATATATAATCCGCCGAACATTATGTGAAATTCATCCTGCTTGATCTTCTTGTCAGCCAGACCAAATACTAAACCTTTTGGATATCTTTTGTTCTTCTAATGATCATCATCCTTACCGTAATCCCATATGAATGGGGTCAGTCACATCTTTTTCCAGCCTTTCTATTACAAGTCATCTACCTAATTTAACTTTTTAACAGGCAAATATTTTCTCATCAATAGGTGCCACTCCTAATATTTCTCTCACACTATCATTAGTAACCCTATTCCTCCAAGCCATAAATCCAAACTGGTCATCGGATACAGTACATTTCTTTATAATCTTTGTTCTATCACTCTTTCCCATAATTTCATTGCATCACTCATTAACTTAAATTCTTTATAATTACTACAATTTAATATCTCTCTTTTATTTTTGTAAATTGGTACTATTGTGCTTTTTCTCCACTCATTTGACATCATGTCTTCTATTAGAATTTTGTAAACAAATTTGTCAGCCGCTCAATTCCTATTTTCTCTATCGTTCTCCATGTCTCTAAAGGTACACTATCAACCTACCGCTTTAGTATTTTCCATCTTTTTATATCCTCCCCTTCCTTATTGTTGATCTTATATATCATTCCCATATAAAATTCAATTCTTTCTAATTCCTCTCTAGGATATTCCTCATTTAGTATGTGTTGTGTTGAAGGATTTAAATATTTAAGTTACACCCTCTCTAATAGCTTAAGCTTTTAGAGTAGATAGTTGTTAACTGGTATCAGAGCCAAAGGCCTCGAGTTCAAACCTCGCCGTCACTATGAAAATTAAATTGAAAAACACATGTTAGGCCAAAAGAAGGCCACACATGAGGGGGCATGTTGAAGGATATAAATATAAAAGTTACACCCTCTCTAATAGCTTAAGCTTTTAGAGTAAATGGTTGTTGACATGTTTGAAATTAATTTTTACATCTAACTAATGTGTTTTTCCTCTCAAAATAGTATTGTATTATCTCTGTCTTTAATACATCTAAGTTGATCCATGTCTTTAGTTAACTTATCTCTACTCTTTGCCATTTTATAAATATACTTTACACCCTCTTTTGTATCTAATTTTCTTATAAAAAATTTAATGCATTTTATTTAACTTTACTTAATATCTTCTTGGCTTCATTTTTGAGGTTCTTATAGTTCTCTAAATCCTCTTGTTCCTTACTTTTTTATTTGCTTCGAAACTTTTCTTTTCTGCTGTATTACTTGCCGTACTTTCTCGCTCCACCACCATGCCTCTTTCTTAATGAACTTCTTTCCTTTTTGTTTCCCCTAGTTGGTACTCACACAACGCCCCCTCCAATGATTTGTTTGCACTCAAGAAGAGTCAAACCTTAGACTTGATACTTCCTGAGGCACCAAAGCCAAGTGACTTTTCCACATGAGCCTTTCCTTTGGTTTCACTAAACTATCTTTTGCCATATTCCATTATATAATTTGTCATTTTTGACCGCGTATCATTCCAATTCCATTGGTTTTTGATTAATATCCGTTCTCTAAATACTCTACTACTTTACCACCTTTTAGTTCTTTCCATTAAATGCTTTGATGGCCTTTTTTGCTTTCTATTATTATTATTGAAGATTTAATGGAGGAATCAGTGGAGGAAAATCATCCCGTAATTGAAGTTGTTTCCTACTTGAAGATTTACTATTACTAGAGGAATCAGTGAAGAAAAAACCTCATTGTTTCCTATTTTCTCTCTCTTTCCACTCTCATCAATTCTTCTCCTATATAGAGGAGCCTCCACCATTATATTGAGTGTTAAAAGAGAGATTATAATGAAAGATATGTAGTCCTTTGGGCTCTTTGTGTCATGGATATAGGCCTTAGTGGCTTAACCACGTAATAGTTGTGTGTTCTACTAATATAATTTCTCTCCACTTATGATTTATGATTTACAATTACAACATGGTATGAGCCTAATTTCTCTTCCTAGATTTGGACACCTACTTTGGGGTAATCCCTTAGCATCTGAAATGTTGTTAAGGGTTTCTCGGTGATATTTGTGACTTGTTTGGGCTGCCGGTGTGTTCAGTAGTATTGTTCTTTGCCTTTTCCATGTCTCTGACATTTTTTTGTTGAATTGTTTAGGTTGCCAGTGTGTTCGGTAGCATTGTTCTTTACCTTTAACGTGTCTTCAGCAATTTTGTTGACTTGTTTGGGCTGCCTGTGTGTTTGATAGCATTGTTCTTCGCTTTTGCCAGGTCTCCGACAGGTTCTGTTGACTTGTTTGGGCCACCGATGTGTTCGGGAGCATTGTTTTTTGCTTTGTCGCTTCTCTCTTTATCATTCGCACTTGCTGCTATTTGTTATCTCAATGGCAAATTGGGCATTCATAATCCAACTTGAGGGGGAGTATTGAAGATTTAATAAAAGAATCAGTGGAGGAAAATCCTCTCATAATTGATGTTGTTTCCTCTTATTGAAGATTTAGTGTTACTAGAGGGATCAAGGAAGAAAAATCCTCCTTGTTTCCTATTTTCTATCTTTTTCTCTTCTCAATCATTTCTTCTCCTACATTGAGGAGCCTCCATCATTGTATTGAGTATTTGAAAGGGTGGGAAACGTCAGCAGACTTGAGCCAGGCCAGATCCAGTCCAAAGCGCTAAACTGACCAGGCCTTTCATCAACCCTAAGGCCCAAAGGTCAGGCCGAGTACATGCAGAGTCCAAGATAGCAAGATCGGGCCTCCATTTGGGTCAGTTTGGATTGACGAATCGCCTCACAGCGGGGGAAGGCCCATCAACTTCCGACTTGGAAGGAAAAATATAGAAAATTAGGGCAAAATGTAAACTTCAATAAATAGAAGTTAGAGAAGAACAAAGGAGTAAGTTGTATGGAGTGTGAGAAAATCCTTCCTAATATAGAAGAACATTTTCATGCATCTTCATCTGGCGCCGTATGTGGGAAGAGAAGAAAGATCTATCGATTTTAGCACCAAATGACACAGATCCGATCAGGAATTATGATCGGAGAGGGAAGCTCCCGTCAACAGGAGGAAGGCGAACGAGTTAGGCATGATGAACTGATGCAGATCATTGAAACTCTACGACAAGGGAACGCCGAGCTCAGATCCAGGATGGAGCAAAGGTAAGCACCACCACCCCCTCGCCCACCAATAGAGGATGAGACGTTAGAGCTGGCAAACGCCAACCAGCGGGCAGAGAGAGCAGGATCCATTCATATGGACCCGCAACACAAGAGGTCTGGACCGAAGGAAGAGGTGGAACGCGTCGACATTATTCCTTCATGGCAAAGAGAATCAGCTGGAGACAAGATGTTCGACAAATTGCATCAGTCAGAGGTGAGCACTCATGACCAAAGGGCCACTGGAAAGCAGCATCAACACGACCGAAAGCCACCCCCAATGAACAATGAGGTTGTTCGGACGTCAACTCGGACGGTCAATTTTTCCTTCACGGAAGAGATTATGCAATCCCCAAAGCCCAGAAAGTTTTCAATGCCAATGTTCACCCTGTTCGACAGAACTAAAGAACCGATCGAACATGTATACCAGATCCAGCTAAAAATGGCTCTGGATACCAAAGATGATGCCTTGATTTGCAAGGTCTTCCCAACAAGCCTTACTGAACCCCCGCGCTCAACTGGTTCAAGCGCCTGTCGAAGGGATCAATCAAAAGTTTCCAGACTCTTTATGATCTGTTAACCGATAAATATAGAAGGATATATCGTGTCTATTCATTATGTGACAACAAGAAGGCGGGCACCTTCAACCTTTCCTCACCAGATTCAATTTGGAGATGAGCATGGTGATTAATTGACATCCGTCATCAGCGGTGCAGGCGTTCAAACTCGCTATTATCAGGGACAATTTCACACATCCTTGGTGGTGACGTCATCCAAAACTATGGATTAGCTCAATTCAAGGGCACAAGGTTACGTACAACTGGAGGAGGATGATGAAGCTGTTAATACAAAGAAGACAATGATGGTCACAGTGTAGAACAGGTTAAAAGCCAAAATGACCACTCAAAGACCTCCAACAGCATAATCACAAGTGGTTCCTTGGAAGACCGAGAAGAGACAGCGGGAAAACGAGACGATCACCCCCCTCAGAGTCACCCTAGCACAATTGTACCAAGAGAATAAGGTGATGTTCCGACCACCTCAACCAATCAGGTAGCCGCTCGAACAATGGGATCAGTCCAAGCACTGCGCATTCCACAGTGGTTTTGGACACCAAACAAATGAGTGCAGGAACTGAGAAGACAGCTTAAGACGCTGACTGCAAAAGGTGAGTTAGCCAACTATGTCCAAGCCAAGGAGCAAAATCATCCGGTCACCAGACAACTAGACAAGAAGAAATTCGACGTTAAATCCTCAAGAGGGATAGCTAGTCCAAGTAATAAATACTATACATGGTCGACCAGAGGCTGAGGATGAATCAGAAGAATTGCGACGGGCACGTCCTCGGTGGGCCTACTAGATGAGAAGGCTCGACAACGTCAACACAATCCGCCAGGAGGGCGACATAGCCTTGATCAGATTCGACAAGACTGACCTTCTTAGGGTTCAGACTCCGCATGAAGACCCGTTGGTAATTAGCTTGATGGTGTCAAACTGCTTGATTAAGAGAGTCTCAGTGGACCCAGGTAGCAGCGCCAACACCATAACGAAGGTGGCGTTCGAACAATTAATGGTGGACCCAAAGCAGGTCAGACCCACAGGGAATCACCTAGTTGGTTTCGACGGAAAGCGAGTAGAGCCCATTGGAGTGGTTGAGCTGCCAGTGTGCCGCACGAAGGAACTTGAAGGAGAATTTTGTTATAGTGGACGTTCACC